CTCAAGATTGTGGACCTTTTCATATTTCAATAGGAATTTTTTACTCAATGGTATTACATGGTATTACTAGACTATACATCAGGTCTACACACAGGTACATTGTATGTAGACCTGAATAAACTTACATATACTGTGGGTCGTATACTGTGGGTCATTGTAGGTCAGAATGAGGGTCACATTGTGACCCACAATGTGACCCTCATTCTGACCTAGTGTGACATAGTGTAACAGTGTAGGTTACATAGTCATAAAATGTGGGTAACAGTGTATGTCACATAGTATGGGTCACATAGTGTAGGCCACAGTGTGGGTCTTAAAGTGTAGGTCATACAGTATGGGGGTGGCAGTATACCTTAGATAGGACTGGATGTTAGTTGACTTGTGGGTCACATGGTGTATGTCATACAGTATGGGTCACAGTGTGGGTCACAGGGCATGAGCAGCAGTATAACTTAGATGTGGGTGTTAGCTGACTGTTGTAGGGCACTTAGTGTGGGTCACATATTATGTTTGTGTCAGTATAACTTAGGTCTGAATATTTGACTTGTGGGTCACATAGTGTAGGTGATAGTGTTGGTCATATAGTGTTTATAGTGTGGATACATAGTGTGAGTCACATAGTATAAGTTACAGTATTGGTCATATATTGTATATAGTATGGGTACATAGTGTAGGTCACATAGTCCAGATCACATATTATAGGTCACGTAGTCTGGGTCGCATAGTGTAGGTCATGTAGTCCGGATCACATAGTATAGGTCACATGGTCAGGGTCACATAGTGTAGGTCACATAGTCCAGGTCACATAGTGTAGGTCACATAGTGTAGGTCACATAATATGGGTCACATAGTGTAGGGGTGGCAGTATAACTTGGGTCTGGGTGGTTGTTGACTTGATGGGTCTCATAATGTGGGTCTCATGGTATGGGTCACTTTGTGTGGGTCATATAGTGGGCTCTACATAGTGTAGGGGTAGCATTATAATTTAGATGGACTTGAACCTTGCAGCAAGCTCAGCTAGAATAACAGTTTGTAGTCTGAAAATTCACCTGTTAAAAATTCTGTAATTACTGTACATATAAGTATAAGAACGTATTACAAATTGTGTGAATATTTCTTCTGTGAATATTGTTATTTCTGTGGATCATTCAGTGCAGTTTCAGCGATGAAGCTGTATTAACCCTTAACCCTTTGGGGGTTTCGGCCGTACTAGTATGGCTTATGCCCCAGGGTTTTTGACGTACTAGTATGCCTAAATTCTAGCGCCCTCAAATCTAGTGAGAGAAAGCTGGTAGGCCTACATATGAAAGAATGGGTCTATGTGGTCAGTGTGTGCAGTATAAAAAAATCCTGCAGCACACAGTGCATCATGAGAAAAAAAAAACTTTGACCGTGCTTTTGGATTAAAACAGCGACTTTGCACTGTACAATGGATCCCTGGTTTATGATCAGCTCCTAATGCGACTAATTATGTAAATGTATTTATGTAAGTGCGTTTGTACATGTATGTTTGGGGGTCTGAAATGGACTAAGCTAATTGACATTACAGGTCTCCCTCAACATTCACGAGGGTTAAGGGATCAAGAGCCTCACGAATGTTGAAAAACCATGAATGTTTGGTGCCCCAATATATTGTAGGGAAATATAATACAATACTGCTTCCTTAGCTTGTTGAACCATGAACAATCATAAAATACATGAAAACGTCGTAAATTGTACTAAATATATACATGTTATGCTTTAATAACGTGTATGTTATTAAATACCACAGACTCCACCACTGCCTCCACCAATGCCTCTACCACTTCCTCAACCACTGCGAGTCCCTACTACCCTCCCACCGACCCCCGCAACTGGCAGCCAGCCCTCCCACCACTCAGTGTGGTGAGTGTTTTGTTTGTTCATTATGTGCTATTAAACTACAGTATAAACAATGTAAACCCATTCATGACTGCATATTGGAATGGCTATTCGGACAGGTATTAGACGGTGACATCATGTGTTTACTCTTGAACACAGCAAAGAATCAAACATTTCTGCTACTGCTAATAATAATAATAGTAATAATAATAATAATAAATACGATATATTTGAAGAAGGAAGTTGTACAAAAATACGAGGGAGTGGTTGACACATCGTCAGTGTGGCTTTGTTTATGCTGGAGTGAGCATTAGTCTCCCTGCTCTTCCAAACATTTCACAGTAATTCAGCAGTTGAGGCAGTGGTATTTAATAACATATATGTTATAAATAATAATAGTACATATTATTAATAACATGTATTATTATTATTAATAACATGTATGTTATTAAATACCACTGCCTCAACCGCTGCCTCAACCACTGCCTCAATCGCTGCCTCAACAGCTGCCTCAGTCACTTCCTCAACAGCTGCCTCACCCACTGCCTCAATCGCTGCCTCAACAGCTGCCTCAACCACTGCCTCAATTGCTGCCTCAACAGCAGCCTCAACAGCTGCCTCACCCACTGCCTCAATCGCTGCCTCAACCACTGCCTCAATCGCTGCCTCAACAGCTGCCTCAACCACTGCCTCAATCGCTGCCTCAACAGCTGCCTCAACAGCTGCCTCAACCTCTGCCTCAACCACTGCCTCAATCGCTGCCTCAACAGCTGCCTCAACCGCTGCCTCAACCACTGCCTCAATCGCTGCCTCAACAGCTGCCTCACCCACTGCCTCAATCGCTGCCTCAATCGCTGTCTCAACCACTGCCTCTACCACTCCAGTCGCACTCAATCTACAAGCACCAAACACATTGAATTATTGTGAAATGTTTGGAAGAGCACGGAGACTAATGCTCACTCCAGCATAAACAAAGCCATACTGACGATGTGTCAACCACTCCCTCGCATTTTTGTACAACTTCCTTCTTCAATTATATCGTATTTATTATTATTATTATTATTATTATTATTATTATTATTATTATTATTATTATTGTTACTATTGTTATTATTATTATTATTATTATTATTATTATTATTGTTACTATTGTTATTATTAGCAGTAGCAGAAATGTTTGATTCTTTGCTGTGTTCAAGAGTAAACACATGATGTCACCGTCTAATACCTGTCCGAATAGCCATTCCAATATGCAGTCATGAATGGGTTTATATTATTTATACTGTAGTTTAATAGCAAATAATGAACAAACAAAACACTCGCCACACTGAATGGTGGGAGGGCTGGCTGCCAGTTGCGGGGGTCGGTGGGAGGGTAGTAGGGACTCGCAGGTGGCGGGAAACTTGAATATGATTTGGCGGCTGGGAGTTTGGTGGCTGGGAATTTGGCGGTTGGGAATTCGCGAATGTGTGAAGCCCGCGAAAGCTGAAAACGTGAATGTTGAGGGAGACCTGTATTCCTTATGGGAACAAATTCGTTCAGTAATGGCACCTGAACTTACTTCTGGAATGAAATAATATCGTAAACCTGGGGTCCACTGTATTTTCGTATGGTATTTATTGTTGCATTCTAGTTTTCTTGGTCTCATTTTATAGAATGGAAGACATATTACAGAAATTGAGATGATTTTGATTGGTTTTACAATGAAAAGTACCTTGAAATTGAGCTCAAAGTAGCAGAAATGTTCGATTTTTACCAAAGTTTAAAAGTAAACAAATCATGCCAAGCGTCCAATACACATCAACTGGTGAGTCTAATATTCTTTCACAAGTGCGCTGATATTATTTATACCATTTCTACACTAATGCAGTAGTCTGCATAACAATAAATCTTCTATTTTTTGTAAAAATAAAAATTCAAAGTGGAAAGCCAAAGAAATATAAGAGGGGCTTGGGGATGTGATTAACGAACAGAGAACTTTTATTTTAGTGCCAGATATGTCTTTCTTGTTTATTCTGGACCCTATTCGGAAATTGGCATCTTTTGAAATTTGTGTGAAATTGGCAAAATTGCTAAATTCTGACCACTTTATTGGATGCACAAATAACCCGCACATAGAAGGGAGAAGCTAATGACGATGTTTCGGTCCGACTTGGACCATTTACAAAGTCACAGTAACCAGAAGTGGAGCAGGACGGCTATATATAGGCAGGAAGAGGTAGTGGTGGTGGTAGTAGTAGTAGTGGTGGTAGTGGTAGTAGTGGGGAATTGAGGAGGAGGAGCCAGTCAAATACAAAGAAAGGGGAGTACTGCAAGAGAGCTAGGTGCCCACAGAGGGAGAGCAAGTGCACAGAGGTGGGTGAAAGGGGAAGTGGTGAAATAAATAATGAAGGAACGGAAACACGAAATGTGAAATTGACTAAAACTGAAACCATTTTCCCTATAAGAAATAATGTAAATCCAATTAATCCATTTCAGGCATCCAAGGTATAAACAAAAAATACATTTTATAGAAAAGAACTATATCCCACAGCTTATTTATTGGATAGTTGAAATCAGTAAATGGGCGGTTTCTTGTACTCATTCGATAGAAAAAATGGAGTTCTAGCGAAATAGTTATGATTTTTGTTGACTAGTGCACTGGAATTGGCCGAAAATAGGGCTCAAAGTGGGCAAAATTGCCGATGCGTAAACACTGTCGAGACCGCTAACTTCGCGAGAGCATAATTCCGTAAGTTTTTCATCAAATTTCATTATGGTCGGGAAAGGATTCTCTATCTTTTCATAAGAAATGTTTTTTTTTTTTTTTTTTTTTTTGAAATTTTGGCGACCCTGAGAACAAGTCTCTGAGATGGCCTGGCGACCCCCAAAGGGTTAAATTCTCCAAGCAGATCTACGTTCACATGCATAGTGCTCCAAAAGTAGATCTATGTTTTTTTACATATTTTCAAATATAACAAAAAAAAAAAAACCTAGATCAAAGTTTTTTACACTTTTTCAAATGTAAAAAGAGAAAAGATGATCCACTTTTTTTACATACTTTCAAATGTTGAAAAAACGTAGATCTGCATTTGGACAGTTTAAGGGTTAAGTATCTGGTAATATATTGTTCTGAGTGGCATTTTATGGTTGTTTTGCAGGTTCTGTGGGATTCAGTGGCAGGTGGTGATGACTGGTGCGTTGCAGGTGAGGCTGTAGTGAACGGTCTCTTACAAGTTGTGTCGTCACTTGTAGACCCGGCTCTTCCAGGCTTGCCAAGGAGAGGTAAAGTATACGTCATATTTTATCCTGATTTATTGAAGTAAAATGAAAAACTAAATCCCACATGAATGGAAAATTTAAGAGTGGAGAAGATCTGTATATTTCAACCTCAGTCACAGACCCTCTTCAGCACATCTATTAAAGAGGGCCTCAGAGTCCTCTTCAGCACATGTACTGAAGGAGGTGAGAACCATAAACAAAACCCAGTAACATGTGAGGTGACAAGTCAGAGAAGTGTACAGTGGACCCTTCCCTTTCATCTTTAATTTGTTCCAAAGTGTCCAACAAAATGTGAAACTGACTAAAACTGAAACCATTTTCCCTATAAGAAATAATGTAAATCCAATTAATCCATTTCAGGCATCCAAAAGTATAAACAAAAAATACATTTTATAGAAAAGAACTATATTCCACAGCTTATTTATCTATCACAATTCATCTAATATGACATAATAAACAATATTAATAACATAGAAAAATGATATATACTCTAGAATGAATAAAATTGTGAGGAGTAAGTGATGGTGGTGGTGTTGTTGAGTTTATAAGGGCCACTGAGAGAAGCCATACATATTAGTGTAGCGGAGGTGGCAGCAGAAGCCACCAGCACTATTCATGCAAACAATGTACGTAATTTATAAATAAGAAATGTTTACACTTTAATTTATAAATAAGAAATATTTACACTTTATGAATAAGAAATATTTACTTACTGTACCTTGGAGATGCTGGCATTGGTTTAGGGTGGTGTAAGATAGACAGGGCGGCGTATGTTTGTCAGTGGCCCTATATACCTCCATTAACATTGGAGGAGTCAGTTTTGTGTCGTTCTTTTTCTGTTGCTTTATAGCTTAACTTACTTGTTACACTGTTAATGCTACACTTTATTGCTGGCTGGCACTATAGCCTTCATCAACTCCTGCTGCTTTAGTATCATACATATCGTAGAATCACTGAAGAAGGCACATTCTCCTCTCTCTCTTCCTTCTGCACTTTGGTACTTTGCTACGAGTTATTTCTTGAATTCTATCGTGTTTCTCACCTTCTTTATCAATGGGCTGGCACTAGCAGCTTTCTTTGGGCCCATTGTGGCTTATTTAGCAGTCACCCAGAATAAACAAATGCAAAAAATAATGAATTATTACAAAATGTTTCTTATGGCCTCACAGGATAATGTTCAATCATCCATAAACAAAGCAACACTGCCTTCTCAGAATGCATGTGTGGGAGGTTGTGTGCTGGCACACTCAGACATGTACCATACCACCGACGAGAACGGAGGAAAGCAACGGAAACGGAGCCAATATTTTTACTGTACCACCGATGAGAACGGAGGAACGCAACAAAAACGGAGCCAATAATTTTATGGAAAAAATTGGCAGTAATGGAAGTGAGCAAAACCAGAACCCAACAAAATGGGTGGGTCCACTGTATATGGTACAGTCAGTAACTATAGACACTCGGGATGGAATAACACTCAAGCTTTTTATCTGTACTGTACTCCTCTTGTTTATATAGGTAGAAGTAACTGCTATAAACATGATTAACCCTTAAACTGTCTGAACATTGATCTATGTTCTCACTGCCAGCACTCCAAATATTTTGAAAAAAAAAAAAATTATTTAAATTAAAGAGGGCAATTTTCTGTGTGTAATAAGACAAAGAAAAAAAAAATTAGGATCAGTACTTGCCAAGATATAAGACCATGAAGTTGGTGCTGGATGCTCACCTGACAGCAACATCAAGTCCTGTTGCTTGCAGAAATGCTGCCGATATACCTTTTTTTCTCATTTTTCTTTTAATGTATATAATTTTAATGTGTTGATAATTACAATTTATAGTAGTTTTTGTAATTTCATAGCCAATCTTTGTTCTGACACTAATATTAGGTACTGATATAGTACTCATATAGCCACAAACACACTGACAGGTGAACATTTTCACCTGCCTTGGTCATTTACTATTATCTAGAAATATATAGAAAGTATTTATAGGTCATAGCAATGTTTTAGACATGCTGGAGTATATATGAAACTCCTTGAAGCATGGTGTTAAGACAAGTGTCACTAAACTGCTGACAGTGCAGCAGTGGAGTGACACTAGATGAACGTGCGCTGCTCCAGGGAACCCTGCCTTTATTTGTTTTCACTGTTACACACAAACTTGTCTGTCTGTCTGCCTGTCTGTCTGTCTGTCTGTCTGTCTGTCTAGCTCTGTTTATCTGTCTTTCAGTCTGCCTTTGTGTGTGTGTCTTTCTATCTGCTTGTCTCTCTGTCTCGGGGAGCAGCTCGTAAACCAACAGGTATTACACACGATGCAGTTGTCACATCTGATTCCTGAGCACTCATTTGTGGATTTCTATGTAGTTCTTTGTGTAGTATGCTATCTTTGTATTTAGACATCCTCTTTGGCCATCCATCATGAGGTTTTATAACAAGAATGTCTGTTTGGAGGCCACAGACAGCAGCCAGTAATATACCTACACTGGACTTTGCTCATCCAATATAGTGACAGATTTCCTTTATCTTGTCTCCCAGCCAATACACAGATTTTTCCTCACTTTTTATCTTTGTATGACCCATATTTATCCACTTAGTACAAAATTACATGAAACAAAACGCAGCTACAAATCCTGGCATTTGGGGTAGAATAATGCAACAGAACACGTTATCTCTCTGCAGGCATACTGAGTGGTGATACATACTGCAGTCTCTTGTATTAACTCAGAGAGTTGACAGATACCTCCAGAAAACACTCAGTATAGAATCAGATACACAATATGAATGCAGACTGCTTTATACTGTTTATAATGGAGGGTGCACCACCTTTATGCATGATAGCACCCCTCTGTTGAAAAAACAAAAAAGTAACGAAGTGACTTACTGAGAAAAATATTGAAGTTTTACAGTGGCCAGGAAATAGTTCAGTCCTTAATCCCTTTGAGACTGCCTGGACTATCATGAAAAGGAAGATAATATCCTGTCATATTTCATCCATGTTGTGCTTGCAGCAGTCGAGTCATCTAGTTATACATTGATTACTTTAGGAATCAGAGTGAAATCATACCTAAACAACATCAAAGGGTCATCAGGACCAAGGGGGAATGACAGAATATTAAAATAAGTACCAATTATTACAGTTTTTGTTTTATAATGTTTATAGTGTTGCTTTTTAATGATTTTCATAATAATAAATAGGAGGTCCAGATTATTTCTGTGGGCACTGTATAAGTGGAAATGAGTGGCTTTTCTTCGTTCTTTCAACAAACTGGCCATATCCCACCAAAGCAGGGTGGCCCAGAAAGAAAAACAAAAGTTTCTCTTTTTAACTCTAGTAATGTATATAGGAGAAGGGGTTACTAGCCCCTTGCTCCCAGCATTTTAGTCGCCTCTTACAACACGCATGGCTTACGGAGGAAGAATTCTGTTCCACTTCCCCATGGAGATAAGAGGAAATAAACAAGAACAAGAACTAGTAAGAAAATAAAAGAAAACCCAGAGAAGTGTGTATATACCTAGAGTTTACCTGGAGAGAGTTCCGGGGGTCAATGCCCCCGCGGCCCAGTCTGTGACCAGGCCTCCTGGTGGATCAGAGCCTGATCAACCAGGCTGTTACTGCTGGCTGCATGCAATCCAACGTACGAGCCACAGCCCGGCTGGTCAGGTACCGATTTTAGGTGCTTGTCCAGTGCCAGCTTGAAGACTGTCAGGGGTCTATTGGTAATTCCCCTTATGTATGCTGGGAGGCAGTTGAACAGTCTCGGGCCACTGACACTTATTGTATTGTCTCTTAACGTGCTAGTGACACCCCTGCTTTTCATTGGGGAATGTTGCATCGTCTGCCAAGTCTTTTGCTTTCGTTGTGAGTGATTTTCATGTGCAAGTTCGGTACTAGTCCCTCTAGGATTTTCCAGGTGTATATAATCATGTCTCTCTCTCCCGCCTGCGTTCCAGGGAGTACAGGTTCAGGAACTTCAAGCGCTCCTTGAAAGGTGCTGTTAGTGTGCAGCAATATTCCAGCCTAGATAGAACAAGTGACCTGAAGAGTGTCATCATGGGCTTGGCATCCCTAGTTTTGAAGGTTCTCATTATCCATCCTGTCATTTTTCTAGCAGCTGCGATTGATACAATGTTATGGTCCTTGAAGGCGAGATCCTCCGACATGATCACTCCCAGGTCTTTGACGTTGGTTTTTCGCTCTATTTTGTGGCCGGAATTTGTTTTGTACTCTGATGAAGTTTTAATTTCCTCGTGTTTACCATATCGGAGTAATTGAAATTTCTCATCGTTGAACTTCATATTGTTTTCTGCAGCTCATTGAAAGATTTGGTTGATGTCCGCCTGGAGCCTTGCAGTGTCTGCAATGGAAGACACTGTCATGCAGATTTGGGTGTCATCTGCAAAGGAAGACACGGTGCTGTGGCTGACATCCTTGTCTATGTCAGATATGAGGATGAGAAACAAGATGGGAGCGAGTACTGTGCCTTGTGGAACAGAGCTTTTCACCGTAGCCACCTTGGACTTTACTCTGTTGACTACTACTCTTTGTGTTCTGTTTGTGAGGAAATTATAGATCCATCTACCAACTTTTCCTGTTATTCCTCTAGCACGCATTTTGTGCGCTATTACACCACGGTCACACTTGTCGAAGGCTTTGGCAAAGTCTGTATATATTACATCTGCATTCTTTTTGTCTTCTAGTGCATCTAGGACCTTGTCGTAGTGATCCAATAGTTGAGACAGACAGGAGCGACCTGCTCTAAACCCATGTTGCCCTGGGTTGTGTAATTGATGGGTTTCTAGATGGGTGGCGATCTTGCTTCTTAGGACCCTTTCAAAGATTTTTATGATATGGGATGTTAGTGCTATCGGTCTGTAGTTTTTTGCTATTGCTTTACTGCCCCCTTTGTGGAGTGGGGCTATGTCTGTTGTTTTTAGTAACTGTGGGACAACCCCCGTGTTCATGCTCCCTCTCCATAGGATGGTAAAAGCTCGTGATAGGGG